AAATACTATAGCTTCGCATTGGCTATTCCTGGCTCCTTGGTCAAATATTAGTCATATATGCATGGGTTAATTTCTGGATCCCCAATTCTGGAGTTTTATTAGTTTCTTTTGATGGTGTTATATTTGCCTGATTCTTCATGATCCTTGTAGTCTTGCATTGGTGTCAGTGCATTTGAAAGAGCAAACACCTCTTCCAGTGTTTACTGATTAGTTTTGGCAGGTAACGACCCTCTCCTGTCAGTTCCCCAGGCTGATGAGATTACCTCTGGGATCACAGTCATACTGGGCTGGGGCTGACTTACAAGGCTGTTGCTGCATTCACAGTCATATCACTAGAAGCTCAAGCAGGCATGAATCCCATTCAGTCCCTGGACGGGTGGCACTACCTCCAGGGTCTTGTTCAGTAAGATGGCCCTGGGACAAGGGTCTGCTTCAGAGTCCACAGCTGGGTCCTTAAACAGCTCACCTATTACCAGCTGCATGGACAGGTATGGTTCCTACCACATCTCTGGGAAGGCTCCTGCCAAGTCACTGGGTAGGTCCCTGGGTGGGCAAAACTAGCCCTGAACCATGGTTGAGAGGGGCTAGACCCAAGTCCCAAGGCTGTTTTAGGATCGGTAGCCATGACTGAGGTCTACAGACCTGGATTTGGGAGACAGATGGGTGTGTCTCCCACCACATTCCTGGACAGCCTGGATGGCTCCCTGACAGTGACTGGAGCTGGAACTGATTACAGGGCAATTTCAGAATTTCTGGAGGCTCAGACAGGAGTGTGTCCCACAGGATGCCTGCACCAGCTGGACTGCTTACAGACTGTGGCTGGAAAGCTTGGGACCTAGTCTAGGGCCCTTTCAGAATGTCCAAGACTGCAGAAGGGAGTGTCTCCCACTGGGTCCCTGGGCCAGCAGGATTGCTTATTCAGCCCTGATTTCCTGCACGTCCCCAGGATCCAAGTTCCTGAGATTCCAGTTTATCCCATGAAGATCCTATCAGAACTGTAACTCCTGGAAATTGAGAGTTCTTCAGATGGGAGGAAATTGCATTTTTCTGTTACTCTGTCTTTTTTAAAAGGAATAAACAGTGGACATTGATATACCTCATGCACAATAACAGAATTTTGGATAGGAAACAATTGCTCTGTGCTAGAGTGGCAAATAGTTTTCATCTCTAGTAACCCCAATCAATTAGCCAATCATTTTGTCTGCCATGGACAAGAAGAGGGAGGAGAAGGAGGTATGTCAAATATGTGCAGATACGGATTTTATTCCAAATTAGCCACAAAGTCAGGCCAAAAACCCAGGTCTTGTGACACCCAGTTGCTCACACATTCCATTACATCCAACCAACATGCATCTGAGTTTATCAGACAGAAATTGGGCATGATCTGTTGCATTACAGAACACTTCTTTGCCTTAAAATGTTTTTACGTGGAAAATACAAGAGTTTAGTAAATTAAAGGGCTGCTTGGCAGATCATTAACTACTTGACAGTGAGACCTGGGAGCAGAATATTAAGGGCACACACTGAATGACCATTAGAGAGAAATTAAGCTAAAATGTAAGGTCAGATATGATAGTGTAAACTCCTGGTGAAATAGCACATAGTTTGTAAGAATTCCATTTACTCAGAGCTTTTTCAGAATCATGGCCCCTGAGGGGATAACTATATAGTCCAATTGCAAAGACAAAAATGTGTAATATCTTATTTTTAGGTCTTCATAAAATATGAAAATGATTCTTTTTGATATAATGATTTAAGTTAAACATTCATTTAAAAAGTGAAAGAAAGAGAAGAGTTTTAAAGTGTGAATATGCTTTGAGCCAGCAATTTTGCTTGAGTTGATGGAATAGCCAGAAGTCACAGGAAAAGATTTAATACCCATCTCCTGGGAGAATAAACCTCCAAGTGACTTTTCTAATTGTAGCTGAGGTGTAATGAGACATGATGAAATAAACAGTAAATTAAGGGAAAGTACCCAGGGACCGAGACTTGATAGACAGGAGTTTCTGGGAAAGAGTAGGAGGAAAGAAGGGAGGGGGGAACTCTGGTCATGAAGACTCTGTAAAGCAGACTCCCCACTGGCCACTGAGCCCTGATGGGCTAGCACTGACTATGGACCCCTGGCTGGTGACACAAGAGATTCTCAGAGGGGATAAAGTGATGAGAGAAGGCAGTCAGCTGCCTATGGAATTGCTGAGTAAGTGTCTTCTGGCTGATTCAATGGCCTGCTGGTGATCTGGGGGCCTGCAGCACTGTACTATGGGACTCCAGCTCACAGGCTGGGATTTAGGTACAGAGTCTCACACTTGCCCCCAGAGAGGAATCAGAACCAGCTGCCCACCCCTGGTCAAGGGCATAGCTCAACCATCACCTTTTTGAATCTGCAATACAATCTACATCCACAGCATCTTGAAAGAATTAAAATCCCCAACAATAAATGAAGAGGGTGTTCAGTTTCCATTGAAGCAAGAGAAGCAAATTCACACACTTTTTAAGACCCAAGATACAATCTATGTTATACCTATAAAGTTCAGGCATTGAAACTGCATTGGGATATCCATGGTCAGTGGTGCTTCCCTTATCCGTGGTTTCAGTTACCTGTGGTCAACTGTGATCCAAAAGTAGATCCTCCTGCTGACTTACTGTCAGGTCAACAGGAGCCTGAAGCCATATCACATGCCTACACAATTCACCTCATTCGGTCTCATCACATGAGCATTTTATCATCTTACATCAACACAAGCGGAAGGGTGAGTGCAGTACAGGAAGATATTTTGAGAGAGAGACCACATTCATGGAACTGTTAGTACAGTATATGGTTACAATTGTTCTATTTTATTATTACTGCTGTTAATCTCTTATTGTGCCTAATTCATTATAAATTAAACTTTATCATAGTATATGTATGCTTAGGAAAAAGCATAGTATATATCCCTGGTTTCAGGCATCCACAAAGGGTCTTGGAACATATTCTAGAGGATAAGAGATAAGGGGGGAGGGCTACTGAACATAGAGCTCACTGATTTTTTAATCTTCTCTTTTTAAATAAAAGAAGGCAAAACAAAATTATATCAATGATTCTTGTGGACTAGAACCATATATCTATGTCAAGTGACTGCCTTTGGCAATTTTTTTTTCATTTTTTAACTGCATAATTACAAACCTGCAAGGTGTATGGTGTATAATGAAGTCGCCGGTGTAACCTTAACTGACTCCGTGCTAATAGGTGTCTCTCTCATTTTGCAAATTACAACCTGCAAAATGATGACATGCCTGGAAAGTAGTGATTGGGACTCATGAAGCTTGGCACCGAGAGTCAGAAAACGCCCGTGAGAAGCCATCACAGGCAGATTGATGATGACATTAGACAATATGCGTATGGCATTAATTATACCCTCCGAGTTTTGCTAGATTGCAGCCCCAGACACTGTGTCAGGCAGTAACACCCCATCCACGGTGTCTCTCAGCCACTTACTGGTGACATCTTGACATCTTTGTCAAACACAACATGAGCACTAGAAGGCCCCAGGCCCAGGTCCAGAGGACGAAGACTGTAAATGTTCCACCCTTCCTCTGTCTGGTGAGCCGCCAGGGGAAGCTAAGTGAATGAAAAGAAAGCAGGGCCTCTCCCCCAAAAGAGACATCTCAAGACTGAAGGGGGGAAGGACGGAATACCCGAGAAGCTGGAAACAGGACTAGAGGAGACGGAAGAAGGAATTTGGAATTTTGTAGGTCAGGCCAGAGAGGGCTAGAAATGGCAGAAGGAAAAGAGGTATCTTTATATCCTTAAATCTTTGAACTCTTGGGGCGCCTGGGTGGCGCAGTCGGTTGAGTGTCCGACTTCAACCAGGTCACGATCTCGCGGTCCGTGAGTTCGAGCCCCGCGTCGGGCTCTGGGCTGATGGCTCAGAGCCTGGAGCCTGTTTCCGATTCTGTGTCTCCCTCTCTCTCTGCCCCTCCCCCGTTCATGCTCTGTCTCTCTCTGTCCCAAAAATAAATAAACGCTGGAAAAAAAAAAAATATCTTTGAACTCTTAGTCCTCATGACTAGAAGGGACCTAAAACTGCAAGCCAATCCATTATCCTTCAATCCTGGTATAACATCCCACCAAAAGCCCCCCGAACCTGCCTGTACAACCCCAACCACAAAAACTCACTACTCGGAAGGCAGCCATTTTTGTCTTTGGGCAATTGTGATGACGAGCTCATTTAGGAGTTCATCTCCCTGTGGAGCCCAAACCTGCCTCCCTGTAACTGACAGCTGCTGATGAAGCCATGGGATGAATGGCTCTGCCCCTCCTGCATATGGCACCCCCCAAGTATTTTATAAAAACTGTTGTGCCCACAGACTGGCCTTCCTCGATCTGGCATAGATCTGTCTCTGACCCCATTGGGACATGATCATCAAAAGCAGAAAAGAGAAAAATGCTAAATAAAGCAGTGTATAGAACACGTGGAAGAACTCACTGATAATGAGGAATTGGTAAAGGATAACCCACCCCCTCTGCCCCAAAAGTAAAGGCATGACTCTCCTACAGATATGAGATAAACACGCGTTAATGATTTTAACTCATTATCAAATGAGGAACCCAGTAAGATGTTACATCCAGTTCAAAGAATAAACCAAAGAACAGACACACTTCAAGATGAACATTGACATCAGTGTGCAAATAGGAACAAAACTGGTTTCTCTTGCAGTAGGGGAAGGAAGCCAATTAAACCTCTGTGTGGACAGGACAAAATTTGCATATCTATGGACAAGAATTATTTTGCATTCCATTATCAGCTATTGACCATTCACAGACCTTAAAATAGCTCAAAGGCAATGAAATATGTTACTCGTTTTCCAGGCTGCCTTAACAAAGTGCCACAAACTGGGTGGCTTAAAAAATAGAAACATATCGTGTCACAGTTTTGGAGGCTGAAAGGCCAAGATCAAGATGTCAGCAGGGCTGGTTCCTTCTAGGGATGGTAAGGGAGGATCTGTTCCGTGCCTCTCACCTGGCTTCTGGAGGTTTGCTGGCAATCTTTAGCATTCCTCAGCTTGTAGATTCATCCTCCCGGTCTCTGCCTTCTTGTGTCCCATGGTGCTCTACCCATGCATGGCTATGTCTACATTTCCCCTTTCTTCAAAGACACCTGTCCTCTTTGGATCAGGGGCCCACCCTACTCCAGTATGACCTCATCTTCAGTTTAATTACATCAACAATGACCCTATTTCCAAACAAGGTCACATTCTTAGGTCCTGGGAGTTAGGACTCCGACAGATGAATTGGGTAGGAACTGGGGGACAAAAGTTGACCCATAATGGGCTCAAAGCCCCCACAGAATCAGAATAAAATAATCTGAAAGGGTATGCTCCAAACAATACACATTTTTCCACTGAAACATAAATCTCTTCCTCACAGAGCTGCGTAGAGAGCGTCCATAAAACAATTTCAGGAAATATTGGAAAAGTGGAGGCTTGGATATTCAGAACTTGCTCCCAGTTTCTTTGTATCATTTGTCAAAAGAATGTAAATTCTGTTCTGCTGATCATTCTCTAAATAGCCTAAAATGAGGAGAAACAGTCATAACTCAAAAAAGCTCAGGAAGTTGCCCACTACTCCAAATTTACCCTAAAAATCTTGTCTAACTCACTTGTAGTGGAAGCTGATTAGGCTGGTTTGGGGGAGCAGGGAAGAATCTCAGCTTTGGTAACCATAATTCATTCATAGAGTGATTTCTAGTGTAATTCTCGTGACCTTTTGAGGGAAGCTTTGGTTCCCATTTTTTAAACGAGAGAGTTGAAGGATCTAAATGAACTCCCTAGAGCCAGAAAGCTGTCCACAGGATGTATGGCAAGCACCCTTACTCTGCTTTATCTTTTCCCCTTTGTCCAAATGTCCTGATCAGTTATTTAAACTGTTGATCAGGGCACCTGAGTGGCTCAGTCGGTCGAGCGTCTGACTTCGTCTCAGGTCATAATCTCGCAGGTCGTGGGTTGGAGCCCCACAAGGGGCTCTGTGCTGACCGCTCAGAGCCTGGAGCCTGCTTCGGATTCTGTGTCCCCCTCTCTCTCTGCCCCACCCCTGCTTGTGCTCTGTCTCTCTCCCCGTCTCTCAAAAATAAATAAACGTTAAAAAAAAAATTAAAACTGTTGATGAGTATTTGTTTCTCATGCCATCTCCAAATGCTTTCTGGAAATGGAGCAAGGAGTAAATTAGTTAAAAGCCATACAACCAGGACTTGAACGTAGGACTACTGCCTATGTCAGCACAGATACTAAGACAAGGAGCCTCCCCAACCACTGCCTTCCCACGCCAGGCTCCTTTCTCAGTGGGTCTGGTGAACAGGGCCAGTGGACAAAACTTATAGTCAGAGCCCTGCAAAAAAAAAAAAAAAAAAAAAAAAAAAAAAGAATAAAAAAACTGACAAGTGGGGGCGCCTGGGTGGCGCAGTCGGTTAAGCGTCCGACTTCAGCCAGGTCACGATCTCGCGGTCCGGGAGTGCGAGCCCCGCGTCGGGCTCTGGGCGGATGGCTCAGAGCCTGGAGCCTGTTTCCGATTCTGTGTCTCCCTCTCTCTGTGCCCCTCCCCCGTTCATGCTCTGTCTCTCTCTGCCCCAAAAATAAATAAACGTTAAAAAAAAAAAAAAAACTGACAAGTGTCCCAGGTTCTACATATCACACAAGTAGTCAGGCATTAGCCAAAAACACGAAAAAAAAAAATTATAGCCCCTTGTAGCCTCCTCATATCAGCAAGATCAACAAAAATGAGACTTGTGGGATCTCAGTACCTGGATATGCTGTGTGGCGGGGACTTGAAAAATATTAGCAGGTGTTCAATAAATAATAATTTGGTTAGTTTCCTCCTTTCTGCTTTTTGAGTAAAACCAGACCCACAAAGTTTGTATACTTAACTCATCCCCTTCAGAACATATTTTTCATGCATTTTCCAGTGTTCAAAGTAGAAGGGATATAGGGGCACCTGGATGGCCATCCCAGTTGGCCATCCAACTCTTGATTTCAGCTCAGGTCATTATCTCTCAGTTTGTGAATTCGAGCCCCACACCGGGCTCTACACTGACAGTGCAGAACCCGCTTGGGATTTTCTCTCTCCCTCTCTCTCCCTGCCTCAATCTGTCTCTCTAAATAAATAAATACATATAAATAAACACTTTTTTAAAAAAGTATAAGGGATATATAGAGTATCCTTTTTACCAGGTGAAAAAGTTCTAGAGCTCTGTTACTAATAATGTAAATATACTTAACTGTACACTTAAAAATGGTTAAGATGGTAAAGTTTATAGTATGTGTTTTTTATCAGAACTTTTAAAAAATAAAGCTGGAGGGAGATCCAGAAGCTTCCTAATCAGTTATGGTTATTCCTCAGGTGTTAGTGTTTCAACTAATTCTTTTTTCCAATGGGAGATTGGTTGTCCCACATGCACAATCATAATTGACACGCGGTGAAGAAAGGGGCACTGATGAACTTTGTTTTAATAGAATAACCTAGCGCTGGTGATGCCTGTATTATGCCACACTTTATTAGTATGTGCACATACTAATTAATACTAATTAATTAATACTAATAATTAATACTAATTAATACTAATTAGTATGTGCACATACTACAAAGAAAGGGGGAGAAAAAGTGAGAAAGTCATTTGAAGGGGGACTGCTTGATCTAGGATCTAGGTATTTTGGGGGGAAGAGGCTGCTTTTCAAGAGATTCTCATGAGAGCCACTTCCTTTCTCAGACTGATGGTAGTTGGGATTTTCCAAGGAAACCTGTGTATGAACCCTGGCCCCTCCAAGCCCCTGCACCCACCCTGACCCCACCCCCAAACATACCTACTTCTTCAAACCCTCCCTCTGTGAGTGAAAAGCAGCAGCAGGCCGTGAGGCCAATCACTCAGACACAAATTGCGTAGTGACAGCAGAGGAAACAGCTATTTGTCTCCCCAGGCGGAGTGAGGAGAATCGTCAAAGAAACCCCAAATGGATCTTTTATTCATCAAATATTTTGAGTACCTACTACATGCCAGACACTGCGACCGTTTCTGCAGACCATCATTCTAGGAGTTGGCACACGTTTCTCTACAAAAGTACCATGACTGCCTATGGGATGGGCAAATTCAGACTCCTGGGAGCGAATCATTAGCTGACCCCTTTGCACGGACAGAGAGACGTGAACCAACGTTGCAGTACGATGCACATCCCTCTCTCCCGGGCTAAGCAGTGTCTTTCTACTTCCTACAGCTGCAGGCTACATACTTTTTCTGGCGATGAATTCATGTGAGTCTAAGGCTTTACCATGCTTCGGAGACCTTTCACAAATAGAATTAATCCAGCAGGAAGGAGGCATGCCCACCTGGGCGACACCCACAGTGAGAGAAGAGTGGAGGACCAAACCCTCTGCTGTTTTGTTGTGTGTGTTTGTTTGTTTGTTTGTTTGTTTAGAAAAAATAGAGATAAAGGTGAAAGAGAGCCCAAGGTCACAGGTCACCAAGCAGAAGCCACATCTTCTGCCACCAAGTTCAGCCATCTTTCCACTCTCCAAAGCTGGGCTGCTAGAGGCATTCTTGCTCAAACGCGAGAGCATTCGTGAAGCTTTCCAGTGAAAGGGCCTTGTGTGTTAATAGATGTTGGGCCTTGCGGTATTTGCATTTTATATTCAATTTGGGTGTTAATGGCCTCCCTTTACTCACTTAGATGGAAAGATGAGCCACAGCTACTCCTCTGAAGAATGTGATCTATCTTAGTTTCCTCATCTATAAAATGAATTGATTGAACCAATTGATCTGTAAGCTTCCTTTATTTATTCAGGCAGTTGGTCAGCTATGTGTTTGGAGTTTTCACTGTTGGCCAATCTCTGACCCTCTATCCCTTTCAGGTCTCATGGCCCGTGGACAAATCGACCCAATCATTTATTCTATTTTGAGGGGATACAATTCAACCGATAATATGGAGCTTTGAAAAACAGCAATACCGGGGCCCCGACAAAACCTGATTTAGTGGGACACTGGCACTTTTTTTTAATACTCCCAGGGGACTCTACTGTGTGTCCAACATCAAGAGCCACCAGGGAGAACCCTCAATGGAAATTCTAGTCCCAGTTCAAGCTAAAAGAATGTGGACCATAGTTTTCCCAACTCTAAAATGAACAAAAGAATTTTAAAGCCTCTTTTCAGCATTGGAATTTCATGGCCCAGAGGAAAGAAAATAGTCCATAGCCTGATTCTTCTTTTCATCCTGGATCCTGCTACCTTTCAGGGCATCCTCATGAGAAGTGGCACATCTGGGGTTCAAGAGTAAGTGTGAAGAAAGTCGGAAAGTTGCAGCAGGACCAACTTATAGCCAATGAGGCAGTCCCCAGTAATACAGTGAGACAGGATATTCATGGCATGGTGCCCAAACACTTTTGCAGATAAAAGCTATCGGGAAAACATCACGGGGCCCTGTCATTACTGTCTCCACGCGGTTGCGATGGGACTCCTCTGGGAGCAAATTTGCACAAAGAGTGTGGTATGCTAATTAAAATGGAATTCTGTGTGGACGTTTCATTTGTGGATTAGTTAAAAGCAATTAGCATTTGGGGCAGAAGCGCTGTGGAAAAGAGGCTGAGCTGGGGACTTTGTCTGATGGAATGGAGGGCTGAGCTTTGGCTAGGGTGCTTCAGGGAGCTGAGTCTGCAATCTCGTTGGGGGCTCTGCCACAGTGAGGAGAAATCCACAAAAGCAGGCTGGCAGAACCCAAAGGTCAGGCCCCATGCGACAGATTTGCTACATTCTTAGGCTTACGCTGGCCTTCTTTCTACTTCTTGTCTTGCTCACCACCATTGAAAGCATAATATAATAAAAGCAGAGTGCTACCTGGCATATTCATTTGTGGCCAACTGGTAAACTAAGACATCAAATATCATGTTTCTAGAAAACCCCTACAAAGAATCTTTTTTAAAAAGTGGGTGGGGTATGCCCCCAGGTGCTAGATACAGTGGACAGGGAGCCACCGAGACAAATTTGTGGAGAGCATTGGGAGAATTGACTTTTCAATTCAATTCAATTCAATTCAATTCAATTCAATTCCAATAAATTCTGGGAGAATTGATTTTTTTCCTCCCTCTGCCCAAAGGCAAGATAGAAAGGGCTAGAAATGAGGGGCGCCTGGGTGGCGCAGTCGGTTAAGCGTCCGACTTCAGCCAGGTCACGATCTTGCGGTCCGTGAGTTCGAGCCCTGCGTCAGGCTCTGGGCTGATGGCTCGGAGCCTGGAGCCTGTT